CAGCCATTGAGGCCCTCGGTGGAGCTCCGGGGGCCACGAAACGTGTGAGGGGTGTGCCGACATGGGTGCGGTGCCGCCATGCGAACGCAGCCATTGGCGCCTTCGGTGGAGCTCCCTATGGGGCCGCGAAACGTGTGAGGGTGTGCCGAAATGAGAGCGGTGCCGCCATGCGAACGCAGCCACTGGAGCCTTCGGTGGAGCTCCCTATGGGGCCACGAAACGTGTGAGGGGTGTGCCGACATGGGTGCGGTGCCGCCATGCGAACGCAGCCATTGAGGCCCTCGGTGGAGCTCCCTATGGGGGCCACGAAACGTGTGAGGGGTGTGCCGACATGGGTGCGGTGCCGCCATGCGAACGCAGCCACTGGGGCCCTCGGTGGAGCTCCCTATGGGGGCCACGAAACGTGTGAAGGGTGTGCCGAAATGGGCGCGGTGCCGCCATGCGAACGCAGCCACTGGGGCCCTCGGTGGAGCTCCCTATGGGGCCACGAGCCGGGTGAGGAGTGTGCCGAAATGGGCGCGGTGCCGCCATGCGAACGCAGCCAATGGGGCCTTCGGTAGAGTTCCCCATGGAGCCACGGAACGTGTGAGGGGTGCCGCAATGACTGCGGTGCCGCCGTGCGGACGCAGCCATTGGGGCCTTCGGTGGAGCGCTCATGGAGCCACGAAACGTGTGAGGGGTGTGCCGAAATTGGTGCGGTGCCGCCATGCGAACGCAGCCACTGGGGCCTTCGGTGGAGCTCCCTATGGGGCCACGAAGCGTGTGAGGGGTGCGCCGAAATGGGTGCGGTGCCGCCATGCGAACGCAGCCACTGGGGCCTTCGGTGGAGCTCCCTATGGGGCCACGAAACGTGTGACGGGTGTGCCGAAATGGGCGCAGTGCCGCCATGCGAACGCAGCCAGTGGGGCCTTGGGTAGAGCTCCCTATGGGGCCACGAAACGTGTGAGGGGTGTGCCGAAATGGGTGCGGTGCCGCCATGCGAACGCAGCCACGGGGGCCCTCGGTGGAGCTCCTTATGGGGCCACGAAACGTGTGAAGGGTGTGCCGAAATGGGTGCGGTGCCGCCATGCGAACGCAGCCACTGGGGCCCTCGGTGGAGCTCCCTATGGGGCCACGAAACGTGTGAGGGCGTGCCGAAATGGGCGTGGCTGACGCGGAGGGGGAGGGGGGAGGAGGCGGAGGAGGAGGAAGGAAGGAAGGAGAGGAGAGGAGACGCGGGGCACCGTCCCTTCAAAACGAGGACCCAACACCACAGGACGGTTGGGAAAAATATGTTAACAATGCCTTAAAAATCGCCCCCCGACTTAAAAAATATGTTGAGGATATTCCTCCTGCACGGGGACACGCTCGTCTTAACAGAAGGCCGGAACAAAATCACTCGACGAGAACCCCACGCAGCTTCCCAACAGGCTTCCAAGGGCCAACTTCGTCAATGTCCCACGGGTTACGGGCACGCCACGACGGTCCCACATGCCCCCCAAAAATTATCCTGGCGATGGACCCAACCATGTGCAGTTGCGAGTATCGCAAAGCAGGTTGAGCGAATGAGAGGGAACTCCCTAAGGGGCCACGAAACGTGTGAGGGGTGTGCCGAAATGGGTGCGGTGCCGCCATGCGAACGCAGCCACTGGGACCTTCGGTGGAGCTCCTTATGGGGCAACGAAACGTGTGAGGAGTGTGCCGAAATGGGCGCGGTGCCGCCATGCGAACGCAGCCACTGGGGCCCTCGGTGGAGCTCCCTATGGGGCCACGAAACGTGTGAGGAGTGTGCCGAAATGGGCGCGGTGCCGCCATGAAAACGCGTGCCGCAATGCGAACGCACCCACTGGGGCCCTCGGTGGAGCTCCCTATGGGGCCACGAGCCGGGTGAAAGGTGTGCCGAAATGGGCGCGGTCCCGCCATGCGAACGCAGCCATTGGAGCCCTCGGTGGGGCTCCCTACGGGGCCACGAAGCTTGTGAGGGGTGTGCCGAAATGGGCGCGGTGCCGCCATGCGAACGCAGCCACGGGGGCCCTCGGTGGAGCTCCCCATGGGGCCACGAAACTTGTGAGGGGTGTGCCGAAATGGCGCGGTGCCGCCATGCGAACGCAGCCACTGGGGCCCTCGGTGGAGCTCCCTATGGGGCCACGAAACGTGTGTGAGGGTGTGCCGAAATGGGCGCGGTGCCGCTATGCGAACGCAGCCAGTGGGGCCCTCGGTGGAGCTCCCTATGGGGCCACGAAACGTGTGAGGGGTGTGCCGAATGGGCGCGGTGCCGCCATGCGAACGCAGCCACTGGAGCCCTCGGTGGAGCTCCTTATGGGGCCACGAAGCGCGTGCCGAAATGGGTGCGGTGCCGCCATGCGAACGCAGCCATTGAGGCCTTCGGTGGGGCTCCCTATGGGGCCACGAAACGTGTGAGGGGTGTGCCGAAATGGGTGCGGTGCCGCCATGCGAACGCAGCCACTGGGGCCCTCGGTGGAGCTCCCTATGGGGCCACGAAACGTGTGAGGGGTGTGCCGAAATGGGTGCGGTGCCGCCATGCGAACGCAGCCACTGGGGCCCTCGGTGGAGCTCCCTATGGGGCCACGAAACGTGTGAGGGGTGTGCCGAAATGGGCGCGGTGCCGCCATGCGAACGCAGCCACTGGGGCCCGGTGGGCTGGAGGGGCCACGAAACGTGTGAGGGGTGCCGAAATGACTGCGAACGCAGCCACTGGGGCCCTCGGTGGAGCTCCCTATGGGGCCACGAAACGTGTGAGGGGTGTGCCGAAATGGCAGCGGGGCCTTCGGTGGAGCTCCCTATGGGGCCACGAAACGTGTGAGGGGTGTGCCGAAATGGGCGCGGGCCGCCATGCCAACGCAGCCACTGGGGCCCTCGGTGGAGCTCCCTATGGGGCCACGAAACGTGTGAGGGGTGTGCCGAAATGGGTGCGGTGCCGCCATGCGAACGCAGCCAGTGGGGCCCTCGGTGGAGCTCCCTCCACGAAACGTGTGAGGGGTGTGCCGAAATGGCGCGGTGCCGCCATGTGGAGCCTCGGTGGAGCTCCCCATGGGGCCACGAAACGTGTGAGGGGTGCCGAAATGACTGCGGTGCCGCCATGCGAACGCAGCCATGGGCCTTCGGTGGAGTTCCCTATGGGGCCACGAAACGTGTGAGGGGTGTGCCGAAATGGGCGCGGTGCCGCCATGCGAACGCAGCCACTGGGGCCCTCGGTGGAGCTCCCTATGGGGCCACGAAACGTGTGAGGGGTGTGCCGACATGGGCGCGGTGCCGCCATGCGAACGCAGCCAGTAGGGCCTTCGGTAGAGCTCCCTATGGGGCCACGAAACGTGTGAGGGGTGTGCCGAAATGGGTGCGGTGCCGCCATGCGAACGCAGCCACGGGGGCCCTCGGTGGAGCTCCTTATGGGGCCACGAAACGTGTGAAGGGTGTGCCGAAATGGGCGCGGTGCCGCCATGCGAACGCAGCCACTGGGGCCCTCGGTGGAGCTCCGTATGGGGCCACGAAACGTGTGAGAGGTGTGCCGACATCGGTGTGGCTGACGCAGAGGGGGAGGGGGGGAGGAGGCGGAGGAGGAGGAAGGTAGGAAGGAAGGAGAGGAGACGCGGGGCACCGTCTCTTCAAAACGAGGACCCAACACCACAGGATGGTTGGGAAAAACAACCATTGCACGAGGCTTAGAATTCGAGCCGGTGCGATCGGCGCCGCGATTGCCATTGCCCTGGAGGAATCCTTCGCGAACGCGCGGTTGATTGTCCAAAAGGGCCCGGACACGCCCCTCATCTCACTCCAAGACGCGCGCGACTGCTCCGAAACGTGTTTTGACAAATTCCCGCCGTCTGTCAAGGTAGGTTCTCGCCAGTTACCCCATGCGTGCACGTCGAAAACTGAGAATGTCAGTCGCAGAAATCACCATTGGCGGTGCGGGCGGTGCCGACATTGCCGGGGGCCCCAGGGTATTCCTTGGCGATCACGCGGTACACTATCTGAGAGGGCCCCTATCACGCCCCACATCTCGCTCCAAGACGCCCACGACGGCTCCACGAGGGCCCCAGAAGCCCCGAAGACACTCCACGAGAACCCTTCACAGCTTCCCAACAGGGTTTCCAGGGGCCAACTCCGTCAATGTCCCCCGGGGTCAGAAAGCGCACTTTGCGTCTGGATCATCTTCGGATGTCCCGCCATCACTGCGCACTGTTGCTTTGCACGACGAGAGGGGGCATCAAATTACCCCGTGTGCAGGCCCACCATCCCTCTCAGAAAACAGTGCAACGTGCACGTGGCAGCAGAATCCGCCGACCCCTTGGGGCCCCGGGATGTCATCAGCGTCTGAGATGCTCCCCCCTCCTGCAACCCCTCCACCCGGAGCCTGGTCCGGTCGATTTGGAGGGAGGGGGGCTCCGCCTGGATCCCCCGGGCCCGGCCCGAACGCATCATGGGAGGATAGAGGGCCACAAGAGGCCCCCAAGATGGTCCAAGAGGGCCCCGAGTCGCCGAAAGATCCTCCAGGACGGCCACGATGGCATCCAGACGACCCATACGCCCCTAAAACGCCCCAGGAGGCCTCCAAGAGCACTCCCAAGAGGCCCCAAGAGGCAACATTCATAGATTTTCAAATCGTTTTTGACAGATTTTAGCTTTCTCGCCTTCTCGGTTTCCCGACGCTCCTCGGCGGCCCAAGAGGCTCCCAAAAACCCCCCAGACGGCCCGAGAGGCCTCCAACAGGGCCCCTAAACGGGCAAAGAGGGCCCCCACACGGCACCAAAGGCGGTCTCAGAGGCCTCCAACATAGCCCCAAAGAGCCCCTAGACAGCCGCGAGAAGAGCTCCGAAGGGGAACCCGAGCCAACATTTCGAGCCCTCGGCTCCCCAAGGCCCCTAAGAAGCCTCCACGAAGCTCCAAGCGCCTAAAAAGGGCACCAAGAAGCCCCCAAAAGGCGCCCAAGAGACCCTCAGGAGCAACACGCCACAACCGCCAGTCACCCAAGGGGTCGGCGGTGTGGCGTAAGCTCAAGAATCTACTGAGGGCTCCATGGTTTCACGCGGGATTCCTGTCGGGCTTCTCGATTCCTCGATGTCCGCGTGGCGAACTTCGCCTTGGGATTGAACACACACCTTCACTGTGTTGGAGATCCCGCTGTAAGGAACTAGCACCGCATCCAAGGAACGGCCATTAGGATGTTGAATGGTGGCCAATATAGATTTGAAAACGCCGTCGGTTGCAGATGACAACATATCATCAAACCTTGCGCGATCATCAAGAATTAGAGAACTCCGAAATTGTTGACCTATCACACATTCGACCGCGACCATCTGGTGAAATCGAGGGCACGCTGAAATTATAATCCCGCGTGGGAGCTCCAATGTAGCAGTTCCATAAGAATTTTCGATTAGCCGCTCCAGATCTGCTCGCAATGAATACACATACAGAGCACCCCACGACATGATCACGAACCATACAATCGAAACAATGCACAATATCATGCAATAACAGGCAGTCACGAAGGGATTCGACCCGATGAACACGACGGCGACCAAACATGCAGCGAGATTACCTGAAAGACAAAACTCCAAATGAACGCCAGCCAGAAGCAAGATGAGCGACTGACCGATCTGGATATATAGAAACATAGTCTGCCAATTTGCGTCGTGAACCTTGAGAAAAAAACAAGTCAGTACAAACCCTGCCGCCACAGTCACGGCATCCGTCCACCATGACTGCGGGGGGACCACCAATTTGGTCGCTATACAAATCATGGAATAAACAAAGTCTAACATGCAAGACTGCAAGCTATCTGCCACATCAATTGGTACCATACACAAATAAAAACATGCAACGATGTTGCAGAGCCAAGCGCGCCGGCTGAAAGGTGAAGACTGAAATGCAGGATCGTGCGTCCTCGTCCTAAGTGCTAACAAGCCGCATACAAGATTGACGCCAGGAATGTCATAACGGCTTTGGGGAGGCAACGCGGCGGTTTCGAGCAACGGCCGCCGCATCACGCCTCGTAACCGATACTGCGAGGCCTGAAGTTGAGCCAAAGCTTGACCTGAGCCTGAGCCACAGGGTACGGAAGTTTGCGGAGGCCGTCCCCGCGTTTCTCGGTGGTCCTGCCTTGGGCGCTTCGCGGTCGCGGGTACACAGCGAGCCGCAACCCACCGAGGCCAACGGAAAATGTACGTCCTAACCATGCGCGAACGTAGACGCCAACACCAGCCTCTGCTGCACGGGGGTTGAAAGGCACGGACGGGGCACCCGTGCAAGCTTCACTCCACCACGCCATCATGGACACGGCCACGGCGCACACTGCAACTCTAGCTGGGGAATTATCCCAGCGAAGGGCCCAACCATGTGCAGTTGTGAGTATCGCCGTTGTAGGCATCGCCCTCGGTCGGTCTTTATTATGGCCACAAAGCGCACAGAGGGTGTGCCGAGATGGGGCGGGGACACATGCGGGCGCAGCCATTGGGGCTTCGGTGGAGCTCTGTATGGGGCCACGAAACGTGTGAGCGGTGTGCCGAAATGGAGCGGGGCCACCATGCGAACGTCGCCACTGCTGCCTTCGGTGGAGCTCCCTATGGGGCCACGAAGCGCGGTACTGAGGTGGGGAAACGCATGTGAACACCGCCGCTGGGGCCATCGGTGGATCTCCCCATGGGGCCACGAAACGTTGTCCTGAGCGTGGGAGATGCTTTGGGGCCACGAAACGTTGTATTTTGTGAAGGTGGCGCACGCGAACGCCGCCACTGGGGCCTTCGGTGGAGCTCCCTATGGGGCCACGAAGCGCTGTGATGGGTGGGGGAAACGCATGCAAGCACCCACACTGGTGACTTCGGTGGAGCCCCCCGTGGGGCCACGAAACGTTGTGCTGGGTGTGGCGGACGCATGCGGGCACCCCCACTGGGGCCTTTGGTGGAGCTCCTCGTAGTGGCCACGAAACGCTGCACTGGGTGGGGAAACGCATGCAGACACCGCCACTGGGGCCTTCAGTGGAGCCCCCTATGTGGCCATGAAGCGCTGTACTGGGTAGGGGAAACGCATGCGGACACCGCCTCTGGTGCCTTCGGTAGAGCTCCTTGTGGGGCAACGAAACGCTGCACGGGGTTGGGGAAACGCATGCAGACACCGCCAGTGGGGCCTTCGGTGGAGCTCCTTATGTGGCCACGAAACGGTGTGTTGGTGGGGGACACGCATGCGGACACCTCCACTGGGGCCCTCCGTGGAGCTCCCCATGGGGCCACGAATCGTTGCACTGGGTGTGGGAAACGCATGCGAACCATGCCACTGAAGCCTTCGGTGGAGCTCCCAATGAGGCCACGAAACGTGTGAGGGGAGTGCCGAAGTAGAGGGGGGGCGGCATGCTGGCACCCCCACTGGGGCCTTGGGTGGAGCTCCCTATGGGGCCACGAAGCGTGTGAGGGGTGTGCCAAAGTGGAGGGGGGCGGCATGCAAACGCAACCACTGGGGCCTTCGGTGGAGCTCCCTATGGGTCCACGAAACGTGCGATGGGTGTGCCAAGATTGAGGGGGAGCGGCATGTGAACGCAGCCACCGGGTCTCTTGGGTGGAGCTCTCGAAGGGGCCACGAAACGTGTGAGGGGTGTGCCAAAATGGATGGGGGGCGGCACGTGAACGCAGCCACTGGGGCCTTGGGTGGAGCTCCCTATGGGGCCCACGAAACGTTTGAGGGGAGTGCCAAAGTGGAGGGGGAGCGGCATGTGAACGTAGCCGCTGGGGCCTTGGGTGGAGCTCCCTATGGGGCCACGAAACGTGTGATGGGTGTGCCAAAGTAATGAGATGACGGGAAGAGGGAAGAGAGGGAGGAGGATGAGGAGAAGGAGTCGAGCGTGCTCGACGATGAGGAGGAGGAGGAGGAGGAAATGGAGGAGTAGGAGGATCAGGAGGAGGAGACGCGGGGCCCGTCTCTTCAGAACGAAGACCCAACACCACAGGATGTTTGGGATACAATTAACCTGGTGAAGGACCCATCCATATGCAGTTGTGAGTGCCGCGATTGTGAATATCTTCTTCGGTGGCGCTTCCTATGGGGCCACGACCCATGCGAGGTGTGCGCCGAAATGTGTGGCGGGGTACACGGCACTAACGAAGACGATAGGTCTGAGTACGAGAGCTTGAGCGTGGGCGGTGGCACTGGGGCAATCGGTGAAGCTCCTGATTGGTTCCCTTCTGCGCTCCCTGCGCGAAGCCTGTAGCAGAAGCATGTGGCCACCCCGTTGGGGCATTCGATAGAGCTCCTTATGAGGCCACTGGGGTTGGTGGTGGAGCTCCCTATGGGGCCACGAAGCGCTGTACTGGGTGTGGCGGACGCATGCGAGCACCTCCACTGGGGCCTTCGGTGGAGCGCCCTATGGGGCCACGAATCGCTGTACCGGGTGTGGCGGACGCATGCAGGCAACCCCACTAGGGCTTTCGGTGGAGCTCTCTATGGGACCACAAAAAAACTGTACTGGGTGTGGCGGACGCATGCAAGCACCCCCATTGTGGCCTTCGGTGGAGCTCCCTATGGGGCCAGGAAACGCTGTACTGGGTATGGCGGACGCATGCTGGCACCCCCACTGGGGCCTTCGGTGGAGCCCCCTTATGGAGCCACGAAACGCTGCACTGGGTGTGGCGGACGCATGCAGGCATCTCCATTGTGGCCTGCAGGGGAATTCCCTATGGGGCCACGAAGCGCTGTACTGGGTGTGGCGGACGCATGCGGGCATCCCCACTGGGGCATTCGGTGGAGCTCGTGGGGCCACGAAAAGCTGTACTTGGTAGGGGAAACGCATGCAGACACCGCCACTGGGGCGTTCAGTGGAGCTCCCTATGGTGCCACGAAGCGCTGTACGGCGGACGCATGCGGGCACCCCTATTGAGGCCTTCGGTGGAGCTCCCTTTGGGGCCACGAAACGCTGTACTGGGTGTGGCGGACACGTGCAGGCACCCACACTGTGGCATTCAGTGAAGCTCCGTATGGGGCCACGAAACGCTGTTCTGGGTGTGGCGGAAGCATGCGGGCACCCCCACTGGGGCGTTCGGTGGAGCTCCCTATGGGACCACGAATCGCTGTTCTGGGTGTGGCGGAAGCATGCAGGCACCGCCATTGGGGCCTTCGGCGGAGCCCCCCATGGCACCACGAAACGGTGTGCTGGGTGGGGGACACGCATGCGGATACCTCCACTGGGGCCCTCCGTGGAGCTCCCCATGGGGCCACGAATCGTTGCACTGGGTGTGGGAAACGCATGCGAACCATGCCACTGAAGCCTTCGGTGGAGCCTCCAATTGAGCCACGAAACATGTTAGGGGAGTGCCGAAGTAGAGGGGGGCGGCATGCTGGCACCCCCACGGGGGCCTTGGGTGGAGCTCCCTATTGGGCCACGAAGCGTGTGAGGGGCGTGCCAAAATGGAGGGGGCGACATGCAAACGCAACCACTGGGGCCGTCGGTGGAGCTCCCTATGAGGCCACGAAGCGTTGTACTAGGTGTGGCGGACGCATGCGGGCACCCCCACTGGGCTTTCGGTGGACCCCCTTATGGGGCCACGCAACGTGTGAGGATGTGCCAAAGTCAGGAGGGTAACGGGAGGAGGGGAGAGGGAGGGGAGGAGGGGGCAGCGAGAGGAGGAGTGGGACGCGGGGCGCTGTCTCTTCAAAATGATGGTTGGGAGATAATCAAAACATATTCAAAATTAGCCTGACGAAGGGCCCAACCATATGCAATTGTGAGTACCGCAATTGTGAACATTCTCTTCGGTGGCGCTCCCTATGGGGTCACGAAACGCTGTACTGGGTGGGTGAAATGCAGGGAGCAAGGGCCGTGTTGGGTGGTGGTGGACGCATGCGGGCGGTGCCACTGGGACCTTCGGTGGAGCCCCCAATCAGACAGGGGAAGGTTACGCTTTCGATTTTGTTCCGTGGGTTTTGGTTGAGACACTGACCGTCTACAGAAGTTTCGCGCAAAATGCAAGCATGAGCATTCGCGTCGAGAGTGAATGGGCCATGGCAAATTGACGTATCCCCGTTAGGCGCACGGGGCCCCGTACAATGTCATTGCACACGCCGATAATGCAGTTGGGCGGAACCATAGAGGGGTTCGGCGGAACCACCGGGGGGGCACATTTTCAGGTTCCCTCAGGTCCCGTATGTTATTATAACCGCCAAACGGTGTAGGAAGCTGAAAATGCCACCGGGGTGTATTATTTGTCAAAATTGGAGCACCTCGGTATTTTCAGGTCGACCTGCAAATTTTCAGGTTGGACCTGAAAATTTCCTCCGGGGACGTTTCACCCATTGTTTTTTTTCACACGGATGGTACGTCCAGGTCGACCTGAAAATTTTCAGGTCTAAATGATACCTCGCGGTTCAGAAACCTCAAGACGTCACCAGCGTGTATTGTTTATTACACGCGGGGCACCTGGGCGTTTTCAGGTCGACCTAAAAGTTGTCAGGTCGGACCTGCAAATCACGCAGCATCCATTGTTTGTTCAATGAAGGTTTGCTCTGGTCTCTCGGAAGCGGTGCGCCTTCCCCATAGACAGCGCACCCGCGCGGCGAAGCACCTGTGAGATGTGTCGATGCTGCGTTTTTTTTCAAGCGAATGGCGCCGGTTCTTCCGAGACGCTGAAGGCCCCATAGGGGCCTTCAGCAACTCGGGAGAACCAGCGCCATTCGCCTCGTCATCGGCATCGTCATCGCCATCGCCGTCGTCAACAACATCGCCATCGCGCTTGTCCTCCAAGACTCCCCCACGGGTGGCATCGAGATAGGAGGCTGGAGAGTCACGAGACCGATTTCGCTCGGGCGATAAGGAGAACGGGGGCTTGCGAAACACGGAACCGACGTCAAGACGGGGTGCCAGACCAGGGACCCCAAGAAACTCCACCGTCACCGCCACGATGGTGACTGAGCCAATGCCGCGAAAACTTTCGTAGACGCGATGGGCGATTCAGCATCCCAATACCCGTCGCAATTTGGCTCAAGGTACATTTCGCCCTGCGTGGCCATGGCCGCCAGGGCGGAACTCGTCAAACCCTTGAGGGCGATCGCCCGCGCGCGCGGCGTTG